TCAGTAAAGCCGATTCTGTGATTAATAGTACCGGTTAATCTCCATCACGTGCTTTCAGATGGAGTGGCATTTCACAGAGCCGTAGATCACCGACAAGCTACGCAATATCGCGTTCATTAGGTGAATTGCATTCGATTATGAACGCGATATTGCGTAGCTTGTCAGTGTTAGTGTTTTTATTAATGCCATTTATGTGTTTGTTAATACAGCATATAGCACTAGTCAACTAAATGAATGTAACATGGCAAAGATTAATGCACTTTTGGAAGTTGAATGTAAGGGAAATGTCATTTTGGAATTTCGGTGGTCTAATGTGATATTGTTGTTCTTGTTCATGATGAAATTTTATTTTATTGTTGTAATTAATGTATAGCAAACAAGATTACCCCGTTGAATTCATTTTGGGAGCGATGATTGATGAATGTATTTTTAGTCCAGTGCCTGTATATAAGATTAATATTGTTATGATATAATTATATTTTCATAATGATTTTTTTCTTCTCAAACCTTGTCTGTGGTGTAAAAACACCCCTGGCCAAATGCCCCCAGAGGGCATCACTTCCCACTTTGATAATTACTGTAGTTACCATGTTCTGAACATCACATCCTAACATGTATATTAAAGTTTTAATATTTTTTATATAGTTTTTTATATATTAAAGTTTTTTTGTCCTAAAACATAGAGACACAGATGTTGATGTGTCTGCATTCAAACATTTCAGTGGGCTTAACCCCTTAACTGTCACTCACATTTTTGAACATAGACGTGAAAGTGCACTATTGCATCTCGGAGCATGTGATATATTATAAGGAGTTACGATATGTTTTATGAAATAAAACGTAGTAAAGTAAAAAGTACGATCTTATGCTTTGGAATGTAGTGAAGTAAAAGTAAAAGTTACTCAAAATAAAACTACTCCAGTAAAGTACAGATACTTGAAAAATGTACTTAAGTACAGTAACGAAGTAAAACTACTCCGTTACTGTCCACCACTGTTTAATTTACCTATTGTTGTTGTGTGTGTGTGTGTGTGTGTGTGTGTGTATTTATATATATAGCCTATATATACTGTATATACACTCACAGATTCTCATCTTGAGAATCTTTATTTCCCAAATGAAATTAATCCAGATCATAACCAAATAATAATAATAATAAAAAGAAATACCTGGGATAATAACCCAATGAATGACTCTTTCACAATAAAAACCTTAATGGCAGGAGAAGATCTCAGTCACGTACATCCGAACGCGAGAAGATTCTTGAACTTCTGGCTTTCCTGAAGAACTCCTGCACATCTGTGCTACTTTAAGATGGATGAGCAAAGTTTTGGCTCTGGGAACTGATTTCAGCCTTGCTATTCGGCTCCCTGTGAGAAAACCTGATTTACTTGGCAGATGTCATGCTGAGAAACCACAGCCTTGTTCTCCCTCACTTTCCTGCAGTGTGTGTATGTGTGGATGTAGATAAGATATGAGGGGAATTAAATTCAGGTGGAAAATCAGTGTGGATCATATCTGTGTTTGTGTGTGTGTGGGGGGGGAGAGACGGAGAGAGAGAGCCCGTTTCCATGTAAAAGTGTATGTTTGTCTGAGTCTGATAGGCCCAGTCCCAAATGCTACCCTGAAACCTTGTGCCATACTTTAATCATGTAATGCCACATATAAAGTGTTGATAGGCCAAGTGTGAATTGAGAGTGCATGGTAACCGGTATGGAGGCATTCTCGAGCCCCCTTCTGAAACCTAAATTGAAAGATGAAACACCCTACCATCTTGTGAACTTTTCTGACATTTGTATAAAAGCTATTGCAAGACCACAAGTGCGCATGAAGTGCCCTATTTGGGACAGGGCTACAGATCACATTCTGGTGTGTGTTTACATGTGTGCTAACATGGTGGTGTCTTCTGGCTGATAAACTGACCGGCCCTCCTGATCTCCTTCCTGTGCTCTTCCCTTCTCTTCCTCTTCTCCTTTCACAGGTTTGACCCGACGGGTCTCAATCTATCTTGACAGAAGTAAGCAGGGAGGTGAGTGCTTCTCTCTCTTCTTTTCCTTTACCTCTATTTGATGTTTGCACATGTGACACTGAGCATCTAATGTTTTCCCATTCCCAATTATAGCCTAACATTTTTCTCTGCATTCATCCGATTGGCTCTTTTAATTCATATTTCAATTCTGATTGGTGGAAGTCAAAGCTTACCAGTATTTAATTTTTTTCCTTCTTCATTTTAAGCACTATTTTTGGTGAAAAAATAGGCACAATTCTGTAGAAAGTAAGTAAAAGTAGCTTTAGTACAGAGCTCATTTTAGTAGAGAAATTAATTTTAGTCTGGTGCTCAATTTAGTTGATGAAAGCAAAATTAAATGAGCTCAAATTTACAAACACACAGGAGATATAGAGACTGTAGGAATTTATCAATGATGAACATAGCATTTTTGTTGAAATTTGTGAATTTTGTGTGAGCTTTTTGCTCTTGTTTATTATAACACACATCTGAAGAAAGGTAATGAAAATGTTGTATCAACGTTTGCTTTTTGTAATATTCCCTGAGCAACATCACAGTGTGTGTGTTAATCTTTCTTGAATCAGAATTTGTGTGTGTTCACACAGGTGTATATTGTGCTACTTGAAGAAGAAAATATGTATGTTTGTATTGATAAGAATATGTATTATACTATGTATAAACATCTTTTTTGCATATCAACTACTTAAGTCATCAGAAGTTTGTAATTATTAGGTCTTAGTTTATTCATTTAAGCATAACACTGGAATTCCGACCAGTGAAGACAAACCTTCTCTTCCCTAAGATTGGATTTTTGATAGACAGCAGAAAGTAGGGCAGCAGTGCTACACTTCCAGCATGTCCTGATCCACATAACTTTTGGCTGTGTGTTAGGGACACTCATATAAGGTTGTTCTTTTCTCTAATGATTGAATAGAATCAGAGAATGACAGCCAGTCAGTCAGAACTGAACCAGGGCTCCAGATCAGTCAGGACCCCTCTTGTCCTTCAAAAGGTGCCGATAGCGTGAGAGCAGAAGCTTTGCAGTAAATTGGAAGTTGGTTTTGGTCAGTTTAATCTAGAGGTCTACTCAGGCAATAAGCTGAAGCTGGAAGCCCTGTGACCTGACCAGTGCTGTCAAATTTTAAGACAGAACCCAACCTGAACCGGAGTCTCTCACTCTCAGTCTGTTTTCTAATCAAGTGAGTAGACCCAGACACTTGAATTCTCAGCACTCTTACTAAATTATGAGTGCATTTGTGCACAAAATGAGCTGTTAAAATCTCAAGCCTTCATAGACACACTGCGTCCCAAATGACACACATTTATACACTATGTACTTATGCACTATGTACTCAACCATGTAGTGTATGAATTTCATAAGGTTATTTTGTCATTCATAATCAGAGTCTGATAGCCCCTCCCCCTTTGCAACAAAATTGAGTGCATGAAATGTCCAACATTCCACACTTAATTTTTTCGGTTATTTAAGTGCATCATCCGGGTTTTTAAAGTGCACTTTTTCTTTTTGGAATTTTCAGTGTGAACACACTACTTGCACTATTTATACTACAAAACGTCATAGAATAGTGCATAAGTACGCGATTTGGGACGCACTTATAAACTTTATATGTGGACACCTGCTTGTAATTAGCAGGTTTGGCTATTCCAGTGAAAACAAATCTACTCATGCTACTTCATACAGTGACATTCTAAAGACATTTAAATGACAGTGCCTCAATGTACAAGCAAGGTTCATAGAGAAAACTCTAGTGTGGAGGCACTTAACTGGCCTGCACAAAGACCTGAACCCCACTGAACATTCTGGGTTGAATTGCAATGCCAAAATCAATGTCTGGTGCTGAATAATCTGCTCTTGTGTCTAAATGCAAGAACATCACAACAGCCGTGTTCTAATGGAATGCCTTTCAGAAAAGTGGAAGCTATTATAGCAGCAAAAGGAAAATCAACTCCTTGTTAATGCACATTTGACATTAAATGTTCAACAAGCATGTAAGGCTGTGGTGTCCTTATCCTTGAAAACCATAGGTAAACACAAGAGAAATATGACTCACATAGCATTAAATACAAGAAACAACCCAAAACATAGTTTGCAATGACTGATTTTTTTACAATAAAGTCTGTTAGGTTGCCTTTTGATGTTCATTGTTAAATTTGGATCTTGAAGTAAACCAGTTAAGAACCACTTGACAACCACTTGTTTTTTTTTATTTTATTCATTTATTCTACATTTTATCTATATTTTATTCATTTAATCTACAGTTGCTGTCTATAATCTATATTATCCGCACACTAATGAAATCGTTTTGTTATTTACAATGACATCTAATCTACAAAGGAGAATCAGACAGCTGAGTCTCTCAAAGAGAATCCTGTTACTGGATCATAAATGAAATCATCTTATCTTTGATTGGTGTCAGCATGAATAACTCGCCACATGAATAAATTGCCACTTAATCCTGAAATTAACACATTGACAGTCGTATGAATGTGTCTGCTGGTTTATTGTTTTCTTTTTTAAGTGATCTTTGTAATTCCTCCATCTCTGTTCACATCGTTCTTACTGTCATAAGAATGGCCCTGGACCATAGACCTCTTAACCACTTCTGAAGATGCGAGTTAGTGCTTTTGCAAGCTAAAAGGTTCAGTTTAAGATTTGCTGATCTTGATCTTTTTTTTAATCCAGCCCCATATGTGGCTTTGATTTATTATTATTTTTTTTTTATTAAAATACTTGTGTATTCTTTCTTTCTTTCTTTCTTTCTTCTCTTTATTTGGTTTAAACTTTAAGAGGTGTGCATCTTTGAGAAAGAGGTGCATTTACCAACATTTTTGTTCTGAAAGAAATGAAAACCAAAAGATGAATGTGTGCCTGTATTATCTTTTTTCATAACTTACAGACATGTCAGGAGAGCCCAGAGAGTTGTATATTTGATTGTGTATGTGTGTAAAGCTTCTGTACTCTCTTTTGAAGGTGCAGGTATGGTGGTGGACTGGGAGCAGGAGACTGGCCTCTTGATGACGTCAGGTGATGTTCGAGTCATACGGATCTGGGACACAGAAAGGGAAATGAAAGTGCAGGTACTGGCTGAGTTGCACAGGCACACACAAATACACACACATTCACCTTAAAAACATCGGTTCCAGATGAGATTTGTAGTGCCATCATATATGTGCACCACTGTCTTGCTTCATAGTTAAATAAAACGTTCTTCCCTATTAGTTTCTCTCTGGCCTCTCTGCTTTCCCTCTCTGCCTAAAATTACAACTTTTCAAAGTTCCTACATGAACGTTTTCATTGATTGATACTGCAGAACCTTGTGTCATTGTTTTTGGTGAGCAGTCATTCAGTTCAATTTAGCAGTTTGTCTAAAGCAGAAACTCTAAAGCTGGCATTTCACTCTGCAGTCAGACTTGCTTTTATGAGAAGCCATACTGGACAAATGTGAAGCAAACCACACTAGAAACGATAGAAACTGATCCTGCTGTTCCATTCTCATAGGTTGTGTCTCTCTCACACTTGCAGTTTCAGATGTGATCCAATTATAATATTATGATACATCTTGAAGTATTGAACCGCAACATACTCTGTGTACTAAAAATCTATTTTTCGAAATACAGTTTATTGAGCCTTTACACTGTGTCTGCACGGAGCAACCATTGTCTAACCAAAGCGACCATTGTAAATCTATTTATAAAATCAGTTTTATTCAGAGGCCCAAACTGAGGGAAACTATTCAATTTGTTTGCTGATATTTACATGCAGTTGCTGATATTTATATGGCCAAAAAGTAAAATAATATTCCGATAGCTTGTAAATCAATGAAATTTTACATAAAATGCATATTAATATCAGTTGTCACTTTTATCTCCCAATAATATGTCTTAGTATGATATTGAAATGCTTTAGTATTTAAATGATATTTAACTGCACTCCTCCAAAAACTCATTCAGCTTTTGTGTCTGTGTTGCAGGACATCCCAACAGGAGCAGACAGCTGTGTGACCAGCCTGTCATGTGATCCTCAGCGGTCACTGGTAGCTGCAGGTCTTGGAGACGGATCGGTTCGAGTGTACGACCGCAGAATGGGACCTAACGAATGGTGTGTCAGCATTCACAGATTTCTGTGTACAATCACTAACCTATCAAACGCCTCACCTGAATTACATTATTGAACCAACTCTCAGAGACTTTCACTAACAATCATGTGAGATGGATCATTAAGGAATGAGCTGTTATTGACTTTTGGGTAGAATCAAAACACTGAATCAACCATCAGAGACCTTTGAAAAGAGTCATATTACTGAATCATAAATGTATTCATCTCTGATGTGCCGTCACAACTGGTATGACTCCATAAATCAGACATCTCAAAATCTAAAAATCATTTCTAACTGGCTAGATCAGAAAATGATTCAGCATGAAACTTGTGGCTATACGCAATTTCACTCTTGTGCTGCACCACTGAGCTTGTTTTATTTTGCATTTGGTCTTGGTTGAATAAAAGTAACAGTAACTCGCATCTCTGTGTGTCCACTTGCACTCACCCATAAATTCCATGAGAAAACATTGTAATTAAGTCATAAAAAGGCCTATGAATAGTTAAATAATGCTAATGCAACAACTCCCTCTGGCTCTAGCATTTCCAAACGCTCAAGATTTTTCCTCTGCTAGTCACGTGTCCGCTCTCTTCCGTGCCTTATTATTTCTTTGCTTTCATGCACCTTTAAACACTCCACCTCTGTGTCCCACAGCTCATTCTGACATTTCCTGCGTCACACTGTTGTTGAGTTCCTTTTCCTTAATTTGCTTGCAGTCTGGCAACCACTGTACTTAAATTGCTTAATGAAATCGAAGTGAACTTGCATCATGACCTCTGACATGCTGAAGTTTTGTCACAGAGGAATATGTCTGTAAGAGAATTTCCTTGCCTCCAGTAACATTGCTGGAGTGCTCATGGTCATGTTTCAGTCTAGTTTAAAGGTGGTTTCTTCTGGCTACTTTTAAAAGTGTTTATTAAATACAGATTTGTTTCACCCTTTTCCCAGAATCATGCTGTCATACTTATAATTTTAAAAACCTTTCATGCAACTATTATTACATTTTAAAACTATGATCATCTATACAAAAAATAAATAAATAAATAAATATATATATA